ACAAGGCATAGCTTGCCAGTTCCTTTTCCAGTAGTTTTTCTCCCTGACTATGGCTTGGTCATTGAACGTTCATGCCATATTGCATAGCACCTTGCTGTTTGTTTTTATTTTGCTCTGAAACCATTTACTGGTCTAAACAATTCTATCTGGACACATGTTTAATGCAGAAAATGAGGTGTCCCAGTATCTACTATGGCGATTACATGTTCTTTATAATTTAATTCCTTGGAAATCAGTCTCATCTTAGAGAGGCCATTATGTTGTCAATTGTGCCAAATTATGTGAGATTATGTGCCAGTTTAGTGAGAATTAATGAATTGATATTCATTAGGAAGTTGTGATCACCAGAATACAATGCAATGAAAAGGAGGTGCACAGTTGTCTTTCTAAAAGATAACAATCATGCTTTTTTTTTTTTTTTTTTAGCCCCTTATTTTAGTACCTGTCAATCTGTAACTCCTTTAAATGTCTATCAGACCTACATTGGTTTACTCATTGATTATATTATATATTGGTGAATAAATCACTTATCTCTAACTCCCTGGACATATTCTGTATTAGAACTGTGAAACCATAGCAGGATATACTTGGGATTCTTTACAGTGCAACTCTGGATAAGAGTCTCTCAAAACACATTTTGTGCTCAGTAGCTCAGTAATTCTCAGGATTTAGCCCAATTAGTAACAGCGAAGGTGGCAGGTTACTTTATGATTGTATTCTGGTAGCACTTAGGTGGAAGGAGAAACAAAGTACAGTAGAGTCTAGGAATAGAACACAGGGCACTATCCACAGGACCATGTTGATTGGATGTAATAGTTCAGAAGTACATACCTATCTCTGGTTCATATTTTCTGTAGATCTGATTTACCCCCTTGTTGTTTTAAGGCAGGTATTTACACTGAATGGCATATAGGTTGTTGTGTTTAGGTCTCTTGGAGGAAACCTCTAAAAATCAAGTTTCTGTCTACTCTTCATGAATGTGCCTAAAAGCACAGGCTGCTCTGAGTGTCTTGTGCACCTTCTGTCCCTCCATTGTTGTGCTCTGTATGTGCTGGTTCTGGTCGCCTAAACCTGCTGTATGTTAATTTAAAATAGAATTGCTGCTACCTTGCCATTTGCTAAGATGTCGAATAAGATTGATTTGCCTGATACTGCCTTGCCAGTGTGGTTGATGAAAAGAAAGCTAGATTGGTAAAGAGGGCCCTATCCATGGCAGCTATCAATATTAAAATTGATGAAGCAGGCTTTCCCCCCACTAAATAGCTTTACAAGGGAAAATGACAACCACCTTTAGCTGATCTTCCTCTAGCTATATATTTCAGTCGCACAAGGGTTGTTGCTCAAGGAATGTTTGGGAGGAAGGTGAATAGTGAATCCATTGTTACTTTTCCTTGGCTATTAGTTCTGTTGTGGTGCTGCCTTGCATTCCCCCTTACTTCCTTGCACTTCCTACCTCTGTTGTTAGCCCTGGCATAGGTGCCGATGCCTGGGTGCTCTGGGACTGCAGCACCCGCAGAGGAAAATAGTGGTGCTCAGCAGCTACCCACACTCTGTCCCCCCAGCGCTTCCTGTCTGCTGCCAATCAGCTATTTGGCAATGGGCAGGAGAGGGAAGAGGCAGAGTGTGGTGCCTTCTCCCCTTCAGGAAAGTGAGTGAGCAGACATGGGGATTGGGGATAATCTTGATTCTGTCTTCCTCTCTCCTTGCCCCCAACATGCAGAGCAGCACAGCTGATCTGTTGTAGATGGGGAAGAGATTACTATTCACTCTGAAGCAAGAGAGGAACCAGCCCATACTGAGACTGTCACAGTTTGATTTCTGATCTGCTCCTGGCCAAATGCCATTGTGCATTGCCCTTGATCACAGTTTATGGAAGGGGGAAAAAGTCTAGTCCCTATATTGCAAAGTACTTGGTCCTTTGCTGTTTCAACAGGATATATCTGAAAGAGGTTGGAATACACAGGGAATTTCCAAGCAGAAATTGCATGCATGTATACTGAAGACCTAAATCCAGTGGACCCAGTTCTGAGAGGCGTGCCGGGTGCTTTCAGTGCCCATTAGGATAATTACAAAGTACTTCTCAAGATTTGCTTTTTTAGAAGGAAATTAGGATTGCCATAAAAATCTAGAAGACTTCTTCTCGGTTGCTTCAGGGGGTAGCCGAGTTAGTCTGTATAGGATAAACTTAAAAAAACCCCAAATAGTCTGGTAGCACTTGAAAGACTAACAAAATGTGTTGATGGTGTCATGAGCTTTCATGGGCACAGCCCACTTCATTCTTCACTTTGTGGTCCAGTTTTCCTGTATTCCAGTTGTATGTAGCACAAGACAACTCCATTGGCTCGTCTAATGCAGAATTCATTAACTTTCCAAATACCAATGAATTTACTGAATAAACACCTTGACTCACTGTTGAATGGCATTCTGAAATATCTATTGCAAATTGGTAAAAATGTAACTTCCACCTACATTTTTGAATTAATGGTATGAACAGCTACCCAAGGAGTGATGCAGTCCCGTGATCTTGCACGGTCAGCTTTACTTTTGTTGTTGCTGTGTTATTTCTTAAATCAAGGGGATACTTAATATTCCTACAGCTACACTTTATTGTCAGTAGACTGAGCATCTGAAAGGACAAGGTGTGATAAATGAGATTATCCATTTCAGAAATTGGTTGTCAATACTGTTAGAAAAACCCAACTTAAATGGATCCGTTTCACAGGTCAAGGGACCCGATTCTCCTTTTCGTAAGCCTGTTTTACACTCATGTAACTACATTGTAATCAATGTAGATAAACTTTGTTTAGCACTTTAGGGGAGAGGTGATCCTAGTTCCATGTTTTTTGCAATTTAAAGATCAGTTCTGCCAGATAAGCAATTTCCAGCACCATGTGGTTAAGCAAGATAATAAAAATATTTCTAATGTGTAGGAAGTTAGGAGGATCAGCCAATGTATGACCTCGATGTTAGTAATTAGTCTTCAGTCTGGTACCTAATGCTTTTTTTCCCCTAGTATGATGCAAAAAGGTCAGAAATGGTTTTCCCTCTTAATTTGTATGGATGTGAAGGGGTATTTTCAAAACCCGGTTCAGACAGATTGCACACCCGTCTGAATGCTGAGTAGGATCTGAATGTGACACTAGTCTGTCTTGTTCGATTTGAAAAAGCAAACTTTTTCTTCTTTTTAAGTCAGGGTTAAAGGCCTCCTCTTTCCTCACATACAATACTTGAACTCCATGAATGGTGGCAAAAAAGGCAGAAGAGGATGATATAGCTTGCAAAATATTATTGACCTTTTTGTAGCAGATTATACAGAAAGAGGGCTGTTGCAGTAACTTTAATCATGAGGTATCCTGAAGACACTCAAGGAACGACTTAGAATTTTCCAGAGGAAGGCGTATTTTCTCTTCCAGCCTTTGGTTTGCTTTTGCATACTTTAGGTGTTTCCACTCACCGTTAACTCTGCTTAGAGGGGGGGATCTTTTTCCATCATTATCTTATCTTACTCCATTAATCCACATCTATGAGATACAAGTAATGAAAAGACTAATTTACAATGGTAGGAATCCTTATGTCTTTGTCCTAAGCAAGGCCCAAATTCTTCCTCCTTTTCTTCTTCCCCCATCCTAGAATGTAGATAGTCAAAATTCAGAGTAGAAGAACAGCACAGTTTGTGTGAACAAACCGCTTCCTCACATGATGTTTGATCCAACTCCCCGCAGAATCAATAGAATTGCTAGATGAACTGAGCTGTTTGGGCTAGATGAAACTGGAAAGCTTAGCTCTGAGGGAAGAATTTCTTCCTAGGCAGAGCCCAGTCAAGGAACTGTAACTTTACTTAAAGAACATTTTGATATTCAGATTGGGTTATAAGATCTGTCCCTTTCCCAGGATTTTCCTGACGTGGAATGGTTGAGCGAATGGTGGGAGAGCCCTACTTTATGAGAATGTGGAGGTTTTTGCCGTAAGAACATTGGTTCAACTTGTAGGCTCTATATGTCTTATGAAGTGTGTTTGTGTTCAAAGCTGTGAATGGGAACATTTTTAGTACATCCAAATAAATGCTTCAAAATGCCCTGTTCCTTGCTGTTCAGAACACTGATTAATGTAAACAGAGGGAGTAATTGTGCTGTAAGTCAAGAAATTATGCCCTATCTCTGTTAAACAATTAGAAAAACTTTTTGTGCACCTATAGATGTAAATGTACACAATAACCAATTCATTGATAAAGTGATCAAATGGCTCAGAGGTTTGGTAATAGGGGACAGTATACAAAGCGTTTCTGCCTTTAGGTAACTGGTTAAAATCAGTTTAGGTCTGTAGATACCAAAATCCTTAGTTACTGATGGCTTCTTAGCATTATGTTAAAAATCATTCATTTGCCTCAGTCCAGTTCCTAATGTGCAGGTGTCTACATCCCCATCATTGAAGGTTTAGATCAACAGATTGGACAAAAAAAAATCTGTCAGGGATGGCCTGGGTATACTTAATCTTGTCTCAGTGCAGGAGGCTGGCCTAGGTGACCTCTTGATATCTCTTCCAGTCCTACATCTTCGTAAATCTACAATTCTGTCACCAAAACCACCATACCAATTGACAACCTTATGGAAGATCTTCATGGAGAAGTCAATAATGAGAGTGGACATGGAAGCTGAACTATACAGTCTTTCTCACAGGTGTTCACTGTAGAGCAAGATTAGAAACACATGGATGAGGAGAATGAGGGTTTGGGGAGCCTTGTCTATTGGCCCGTCCATTGGCCAACAACTATGTCCTTTGCAGAAGGGTGATGTGTCAGATTTATTTAGCTCCAAAACAATAGGTATTTTGACTTGACTCCTTCCCTTCAGTGCAGCTTTAGATGGGAAGAGATTTAGTGCTTAGTAAGTCTATTAAGATTATTATGGTATTTTTGCCACATAAGGAGCGTGTGTGTGTGTGTGTGTGTGTGTGGTTTTGAAAGTTTCAACAGTTGTATGACTTTTTTTGGTAATACCTAGGAAACAATGTTATGAGGACCATCCATGGTGTGGGAGAGATGATGACGCAAATGGTACTGAGCAGAGGATCTATCTTTCCCATCAACATACCTGATGTACAGCCAAGCCTCCACCCAAGCAAGCAGGCCAGCACCATAGAGAGCGAAGATGTGACTGTGATGGACACCAAATTAAAAATCATTGAGATTTTACAGGTGAAAACCAGGATATTAAAATGACCTAGCTGCTTTGTAATTTTCTCTTTTTCTTTAGTCTCTGAATTCTGCAACCCAGTCTTTCTTGGATTGAGGAGTATCTTTCTCCAAGGGTTGCACCTCAGCATGGAGAAGGGTACTTGCACAGTGACCATAAGGGGTGGCAGAATCTAGTCCTTAAAATCATTCCAAGAAATGTTCTCTAGAGACAAAGGATGTCTACCCAGATTCACTTATCCTAGTTTTACATCAGTATAATCTCATTGACTTCAGTTAGTTACACTGTTGTAAATGAGGAATAACTAACAACAGAACAAAGTCCTAATACACTGGAGAAATGCAGGACTAGACTTTCTGAAAGCCCTCTCCAGATGTTTGCTGGTGGACCTCAGAACAGAATTTGGGCCAGTGTCCTTTTACCCTAGCCACTCCATGAGGTACTAGCACATGTCCTTACTTTTCTCACCTTGTGCTGCTGTAATTTATATGCCACAGAATCTGTTATTCTGCATATCAACTCCCACATCCTGTAAGTGCACACACGCTGTAGGAGTTTTTCAGTATTTTTTGTAAATTCTGCTATTTGTTGATACAATTTGTCACTTTTGAAGCTTTCAGTTTGTACCGAATGTTTATGAAGTATGCCTTTTATATTTCCTTAATTACAAGTTGCGGAAAGACTAGTACTTGCTAGGTCATGCTTGCTGTAGCATACGTTTATTCCACATGTGATAGACTGCATATTTCAGGGCCCATAAATAAGCAGAAGGTAGTGCCAAACTGCCTGGAGAGCTCTGGAAAGGGTTTACTACCCAGAGCATCACTCCCACTTCCTTGCCCTCTCCTTGTTCTGGGACGGGCAGTAAGCAGTGATTTTTGGGATACAGCTGACTTTCCTTTCACACCTGGCCAGCTCTACTGGTTGGCACTTGGGAGGTCCGAACCATGGTTCCTACTTCTTCCTGCCCCCTCCCCCTCCCCCCCCGATGCTTGCAAGAGAAAGCATTAGGTGAGGCAGCCCCTCCTGTCCCTTCTGCATTCTAGCCTGTGTCTGAGCAGGTCTGATGCAGATCCACATGGAGTTGGAGAGGTTTTTCCCTCACTGTTACGGCTGTGTTACACCAGGGCACAATCCTGTCTTATACAGTAGAACCTCAGAGTTATGCACACTGTGGAAATGGAGGTTGTCCGTAACTCTCTGAAATGGAGGTAACTCTGAACATAGTACAGTTAACGAACAATTGGTGCCAGAAGAGTCAGTCAACTGCTGGCTCCAGGTCCAGCAATAGACACAGGATTCAGCAGCAGCTGAGTTCATTACTCAGCCCCAGCACGTAGAACATCAGAGTTAGGGACTGACAATTCAAGCAGATACCTATGAAACTGGCAGTAAACACTCCGGGAGCAAAACAAGCAAAACCAACAAGTATTGTGCTTGTATTGCATTCCAAAGGTGGGTACATCTGGGCTGCCTGTCTCCTCTAACCCACTCTCTCTCAGGGATCAGCCACTTACAGTAAAATGGGGGGAGGGCTGCAAACATATCCCCCTCTGGGCAGAGGGGTGAGTGTGTGGAAACAGCATGTTCTAAAAACAGTACACCCCTTTCCTGATCGGGCAGGGGGGATAGGGATGAAAGGGTGCTGCTCCTGCTCTGCTGTCTTGACCTGGCTGCCTCAGGATCTTGCTGTAATTTGGGTGACCCTTGAGTGGGAGTGGGTTGGGGGGCAAGCAGCCTGGATGTGCCTACTTATAAGATGCATTACAAGCACAATATAGTATTTGCGTGGGTTTTTTTTTTTTTGGGTCTCTGCTGCTTCCTGATTGGTTACCACCAATTTCACATAGTGTCTGGTTGACTATTCAGTCCATAATTCTAATGTTGGTACCTTTTGAGGTTCCACTGTGCGCTTTTGTGTTACCACTCCCCTTTCTACTGGTTTTATACCACAATACAAGCACAATAAAGGTCAAGCACAGCTAAAACAGGAAAAAAATATATGCAGATCCAAATCTTGCTGTCCTTAGGCACAAGAATGTTCTTACTGAGCCAGATTCAGAACCCAGTTGCCCTTGTGTAAATTGAACAAGCGAGTTGTGTTTCTTTAAAAAAAGTAATCCTCACAAGTAATCCTTTATTGCTTTTAGGTTTACATTAACTGCCACATATCCCCAAAAAGGAAACACCAGCCAGGATATCACCACGTGTGTTTTGCACTGAAAGATAAATGATTGGATCTTTGTTTCCATGCAGATGTGGAACAGTCGTCCGATTCAGTGGCCAGGTCCTAAAGCCTGAACTGATTGTGATATTCTCAATGAGGGAGGTGCAGCCTGAATGCCTCATTGCAGTGGGAAAAGTCAGTCCCAGGAAATTAAATCACAAAAAGTATCGTTTGACAAATATAGCAGTTGTCTGTTCAAGAGTGGACTTGAACCCACTTAAAATTACCTCTCTCTCGCCTCACAAAACAGGTTACCAAATAATAAGGAAAAAAAAGTATCTCATTGTAAAACACTTGTCTTGTAGTTTATCCTTAGTGTGAGACTGGACTATAGAATCTCCTACATGCTCTCTATCTATAAAAAAGAATTTGGAGATGATGGCGAGACAATTGATAGTTCCACCATCGCTTCACCGGACTCACCAGGGCTTGCCTCAGGTAACTGTTGTGATCACTTTACAGTTTATTATTGCAGTAATCTGCATAAGCAGCCAACTACACTACTTCAGAAAGATCCACATTACTCCAAACTGAAAGCTAGGAGGGGTGCCCACAATGATGACTATTTTCTGGGCTGCTGCTCTCTAATTAAAATTTGATTCAGTTTCCCTATGACGGTGATGTATTATTCATTTGTACGCTTCCCAAAGGTTTGCTACGTGACATAACAAACGAGAGTGCGAATGGACCATGGAGTAGGGATGGAGAGAGCTGCACGTTGCTCTGTTTTTCTTTCTCCTGTCTTGTGTGCCTTGTGGCAGAACTGAGTTTTTCAGAGGGATGTAAATGGAGGTGGGGCTGATGAACCAATTTGCAGAGGAGGTGTGAATAGATCAGTGGCACAGAAGGAAACCCAGACCTGTCTGTAAAGAGACGAGAAGGGGGTATTCTGGTTTTGATAGCAGAACAGAGAGGGTGGGTGCAAATGGAACGGCAGTTAACTATAATTCTTCTGCAGGTTTGTGTCTGCTGATTTGGGAGGATAGTTACATCAAAGAAAACATAAACGATGCAGCTTGCAAAATCTTTGGGGGGGGGAATGGGCCATCTTTATGTTCTGTTTGTACAATACATAGCACGATGGGGTCCTGCTACATAACAAGAGCTCCTAAATGCTAGTGCAATACAAATAAGAATAAAGTGCCTCCTTATTCAGGCAAAATTCCCATTGGCTGCTTCAATGGAGTTTTGTCTGGCTAAAGAGTCCGTAGTTGGGCCTTGAGTTTGTTGCACATACTTACACAGAGCTGAAAGTTTCTTTAGCTATGCAAACTAAATTGTGGTCCTGTGATGTGTTTTTTGCAGCAATTGTTCCTGACATAGATGAGATTGCAGCTCGGGCTGAGACAATGTTTGCTGGCAGGTATGCTCAATGAAGGTTATAATTCTGTCTGGTATGTGCCCAATAACACCCAACTTCTATCAGATTTTTGTTTCTAATTGACTGTTTCCACTTATTTTTTGCCACAAAGCATGATCTGAGACAGAGGAGGTGGTGGAAGTAGTAGATTCTGCTGTAGCCAGATGTTAGACATGACTCGATACCATGATGCTTATATCTGGGTTCCAAACGCCCTCAAATTCAAGTGTCTATGGATCTGGTTTGGTGAGTTGTGGGATTCCACTCCATCCCCAAAGCTCAGGAGGGTTTGGATTCAGATTTTTTGGTTGGTTCATAACTCTCTGTTATGGTTTGTCTACATGGGAAAGGAAAACTAGTATGTGGATTTGGATCAGTATAGTTATACTGGTGTAACTACCTATACAGGTACTCTCATTCCAGTACAGGCAGTCCCCGACTTACGCGGATCCGACTTATGTCGGATCCGCACTTACGAACGGGGCTTTCTCGCCCCAGAGCTCACAGGCAGCGATCCGCCACCTTGACCTCCGGGGCAAGAAAAGCTGCTCCCGGTGCCCCTGGTCTGCTGGAGACCCTCT